AAAGAATATTTTGTTGTGTGGTGGATATATCATTATTTATCTAATCTCCTATATATAATTGTTTCCAATTTTTTTTTGGTGAGGAAGATTGGCCCTGAGCTAACATCTGTTGCCAGTCTTCCTCTATTTTATATGTGAGCCACCACAGTGTGGTTTTGTTAAGTGGTGCGTAGGTCCATGCTTGGGATCTGAACTTGGGAACCCTGGGCCACTGAAGCAGAGCATGTGAGCTTAACTACTATGCCACCAGGCTGGCCCCAGATTTTTTGTTTTTTAAACAATGCTAGTTAATAGCTTTATTTATATATGTTTACATATTTAGTTATAAATGTGTAAATATCTCTCAATTATAACATTTATATATACCTCCTTATTTTTCATTATTTTCTCCATATAAATTTCCAGAAGTGGAATTGCTGGGTCATAAAGTATATTTATTTAAGAGTGAATGAGGGAATATGGGAATTCTTTGTACTACACTTGCAACTTTTCTGAAAGCCTGAAATCATTTTAAAACAAAAAGCCAATAAGGAAATACATGTGAAAGAGTTATCTCTTTCCGCACAACTTGACCAACACATTTGAGTATTACTATCTTTTCACCTTTGACAATCTGATAGGTAAAAAAAGAATACTGCTTATTATTACTTAACTTGTATCAATTGTTTTTTCTCCCATGGTGTTCATTTTTTTTCTTATTGATCTGTAAGCATTCTTTGTAAGTTGAAAAAGCCAATTAAAAATTAGTTTCTTGGTGCTGGCCCATGGCCAAGTGGTTAAGTTTGCGAGCTCTGCTTCTGTGGCCCAAGGTTTCGCCAGTTCGGATCCTGGGCACGGACATGGCACTGCTCATAAAAAAATTAGTTTCTTCTCCACTATAGTAGCACATAGCCCTCATCACTTTACAGCTTAGCAGCTGCCTTAAATCTCTGTTGGACTAAGGAAAGAAACAAAAAAATCCAAAGGGGTAGCATGATGTTCAAGGTCAATCATTTTGGACACTGTTACCTCACAAAGCAGAACCAAGTCCTGAACAAGAGATTCCTTTCTCTGCCGGAAGTTTACAGTCTGCAGTTGATTTTCAGACAGAAAATCCCAGGCTTTGAGGATTGTCATCATTTCAGCCATGGGGATTTTCAAGATGGTCCTCTTGAAAAACTCGGCAACAGTTTCATCCATCTCTTTGGCACTTTAATAAAAATGAAAATAAAAACAGCACAACAAAGTATTAAAAAAATACAAAAGTTTAACGTAATGGTGAATTTTTCAGCACTATATTTTTAGCCAGGATTTTGATCTGTGGCTCAAAAACCCAAATGTTTACCTTTTTTCAAGCACTCTGCAAAGAGTGTTTCAAGTGGAGGACTTTATTTTCTGCTTAAGTTGTATATTTAAATATGTTTTAGTTTTTAAAAATTAGTGCTCTCTCCCCTTTCTTGGCTGGAGTATTTTGATCTTTTGACGGGAATGATATGTAAATCATTCATTCATGCACTGATTGTGTAACAAATTACTGAGCACCTGTGTGTGCCAAGCACTCTTCTAGGCACTGGGGATAGATACATCTTTAACCAAAAAGATAAAAATCCCTGCCAGTATGGAGCGTCCATTCTAGCTGGGAGAGAGAGGCAAGAGGAAAATCACAAAATGTGTTAAAAGTGATAAGTGCTAAGAAAAAAATGGAATAGTGTTAAGAAAAAACTAGAAGTGAAAATGGAGCAGGCTGGGAGGGAGGTGGGCGCGGTGGGGGTGGAGAGATTAGGCTTCAGAGAGAGGGTGGCATTTGAGCCAATCCTTGCAGGAGAGAGTGAGCCACATGGCTAGCTGGTGGAAGAGCTTTCCGGGCAGAGGGAACAGCAAGTGCAAAAGCCTTGGGGCCTTCAAGGAACAGGGAGAAGGAGGCCTTCAGGGAGGCCGGAGTGAGGGGGCGCAGAGAAGGAAGTGAGGCCAGAGATGGTGGAGGGACCTGGGGGCCGCTGCAGGGATCATGGCTTTTATTCTGACAGAAACCAGCTGTGGGAAGGTCTTGAGAAAAGGTGGGCTAAGCTGTCACTTAGGTTTACTACCAGCATGGGTCTGGCTCCTGCTCTGGGCATGCAGTCTAGGACGGAGGGTGGAAGCGGGAGGCCAGCTAGGAGCTACATTATTACTGCAAAACTCTAGGTAAGAGATGATGGTGGACCCAAATGGAGGCGGTGGGAAGAGGTCAGATTCTGGATATATTTTTAAGAGAGCCCACAGGATTTCCTGATGGATTAGATGTGGGATGTGAGAGCAAGACAGGAATCAAAGATGATACCAAGGTTTTACCAGGTAACTGAAAGAACGGAGTGGCTCTAGGGGGCAGGGGCAGAGGAAAGCTCAAGAATTCCGTTTTGAACATGTAAATTTTAAGGTTAATTATTAGACTCAAGTGGAGATACTGAATAAACAGCTGCATTTATGAGCCTCTGGGACACAATAAGAACTGCAGGAGGAGGGGACTGTAGTCTCTTTCTCCTTTAAGGCCTTGCCAATTAACGTAGAGCTGTTACCTCACTTTTCCTGCCCCAGGGCTGAAGGTGAGATCCTTCAACTGTCCAAAAGGTCTTGAGCCCCAAATCTAGTGTGACTCCCTCAGCAACAGACAAGGGCAAAGATCTTCAGGAGCGTAACTTAGTGCTGTCTTAAAGCTGTGGCATGGGGAGGGAGGATCCTGAGCCCTTTTATTATTTTCCGTAGGGCAGAAGCTGTGGGCCAAGGGTGACAGCTGATCTTAGCTCTGCTACCTCATCTGGGGACACTGATGGACATCCCCCTCACCCCTTATAAAAGACAGAACATAAAAAAGCAAGCAAGCATGATTTCTAAACTAAGATTAAGCAGGATATTGGCAGACTTTAAATTCCCCAACAAGACCTTGGTGTCCCTGTTTAAGACAAGAGGCAGCAGTCTGTCAGTCTCATCTGCTCACACCACAACTTCGGGATTTCCAAGGACAAAAAGAGGAATATCCTCCTACAAGAATTCCGGCTGTGCCTTATTTCTACCATTTAATTGTCTGTTGAACACTGCATATAATTTATTACCATTGACCACTTCCAAAAAGATAAAGAGTAGTTGACTGTATTTTAAAAAGATACTGAAAATAGCTGAAACAAAATAAAGAGGAACTATTATTTGTTTAGCAAGAGAAAAATAACAGAATTAAGAACAAGAGAACAGAATGAGGATCATGAAAATTGAGCCCGAATTGCCTCCTTGCCCAGATACAGGACCAACATACCTTAATGTCAGGACTAAAATCCTCCCCGTGGTCTACAAAGCCCTGCGTGGTTGGGTTCCTGTCTCCCTCCCTGTCATCTACCACTCTTTCCTTGCCTTTCTGAGCTCCAGCTCCATTGGCCTTTTAATTCCTCTAATACAAAATGATCCTTCCAGGAAAGGGCCATTGTACCTGCAGCCACCCCTGCCTAGAAGGTTCTTCCTGCACATACTCACATGAGTGGCGCTTTCTGTAATTCAGGTCTCAGCTTAGATGACTTCTACTCAGAGAGACCTATTCTGACCACCCATTCTAAAGTTATTCCCCACCTTTCAATGCTTATTGTCTTCACAGAATTATCTGAAATTATCTTGCTTATTGATGACTTTATTGCTTTACACTATTTTGTTGAGCTCCACTAGGGTAGCAGCTATGTTTGTCTCATTCATAGCCATATCCCTACATGATAAATACTTGTGGAATGAAGTATTAGATATTCTCCCTAAGAAGTGTGTCCAAGGAGATAAAACACCTGCGAAGGATGAGTGTCCAAGAGTCAGGGAAATAGCGAACCAACTTCTCTCATCAAAACACAGGAGCTTGGGGTGGGCTTGCTAAAATGCAGATTCCTGGGCCCCAGTGCTTTAAACTGGAAGGTAGGGGGGCATCGATTAGGGCTTGAGAGTTTGCATTTTCAGAGTGCCTCAGAAGATTCTCAATTCTGGGTAGAGTTTGCAGAATGCTCTTCTAAAGAATTCTGGTACAAAGACGGCACTCAATCTCACCAATAAAGTTGGAAAACCCTTTAGTACACCCTTCTGATTCCCTGTGATCTAATTTCTTTTCGCTTCCTGGCATTTAGCAGCACAGTGCCTACATACAGCAGGTGCTCGAGATATATTTGTTGAATGAACGCACGACAAAAAAAGAGCCCTTTTAAGTAACTGTCCTGTAAACCTACACCGCTGAAGAGCTGCCATAGGGAGTAATGCGAGAGGCGCACGGACGGAAAAAGACGGAAGCCAAGGTTAAGCAAATATCAAAACGCCCAACGCCCGGCAAAGCAGCAACCCAACGCGGGGAAAGGCGTGTAGTCCGTCACGTGACCACTCGGGGCGGCTCCGGCACTGACGCACGCCCTACGAAAGGCCCCGCCCCACCACGGGCGGATGTGACGTCAGACGAAGCATCGCTGCCCTCTCTCGCCTCAGCCTCAACCGTAGTCCCAGTCCCCGGCCTCCAGCCCGAGACCGAGCGCCCATCCCGCACCTTGGGACGGGCGGCAGTCGCAAAGATGTCACCCCCGAGGCCTGGGATGGGCTTCCTCAAGGCTCCTGCCACCCTCCGGGGCCTGATCCCAGGCCGCCAGGGGCTCTCTCACCGTCCCACATCGCCAGCCGTGCCTCTCCTCAGCAGCCGTTCCCGCCCGCTGCTCCTTCAAAGCCACCAATTGCAGTTCCCGCCGCCCTCGAGCCCCGCCCACTGGAGGGGGCTCGTACTTTGGACTGTCCCTCAGCTCAGGGGGCCACTTGAGGGGAGCGGCACAAGTGGAACTCGGCAAGCCCCCACGTCACCCCTCATAGCAAAGAAGGTTGCTTAAATGAAGTTAATATGAGCCACAAAATCTGGCTTGTCGGCTTGGCTTGTCGTTTAGGCTCCGCCGTGCCTCCGTGGACTCACTCTCTCTCCCCCTCCCAGCGCCCGAAAGTGGGCCCGTCCAGCCAGGTGGCGCATGCGCCCCAGAGGACGCGAGCGGCTGGGGCTGGCCGAGCGGGGTCAGCCGCCGAGGGCGCTGGACATTTCGTGGCCCGGAGCCCTCCGGCTCTGGCGCCTAGGCTGCCGGCCTTAGGGTGGGGCGTTCTCGCCGGTGAATTCCGCTTCAGCCCGCCCGGTGTGGCCGCGAGTCGGGTGAGTCTCGGGGTCGGGCGGTTCGGAGGGGCGCTCTTTTCCTGGCCGCGGTGTCCGGGGAGGCCGCGAGACCCCCCCGGCCGTGCCCGCATCCCCTGCTCGCGCGCGCCCCCCCGTGCTTTCCGAGGTCGGGGCCTGGGGGCCCTCCGGGCGGCCGTTCTGCCCCAGCCCTGCGGCCGCGCGCGGCGCCAGGGATTTTGCCGGGGCGTCCTGAGCCCGGGCGTGCGCTGAGGACGCGCTGGGAGCAGGCCTGGGCCCGGAGCTTTCTCCCCGTGCGGGGATCGACCCCGCCGCTCTCCAGGGGGTGACCTCGGGTGGGCTCCTCCCCTCCCTGAGCCGCGGCTTTCTCGCTTGCAAAATGGGGGTCACCCATCGCCGCGATCGTGAGCAGGGAAGCGCTTCACGCGGTGTGTGACACGGGAGCGCTCAGTCCGTGGCGTGGTGGTTACTGTTCCTGATGATCCGGGGGGTTAGAACTAGCCTGTGGAAGGTGGGGGGCGCATCTCAGCTGCAGCGAGAGTTGCCCCCAGTCTGTCTTGCGGTGTGACCATCCGCCAACCCCCATCAGTACCCTTTTCAAGGAAAGTGGACGTTCACATACCTTTTCCTGGGTTGAGACACGACCGTGCTTGTAGTCTCACAGTAGGTGCTTTAAGAAGAGTCTTAAGTAAATCCGAGTTCTGGAAACTTTCGTTTAAAAGGTTCAATGCATAAAAGACGTTCGCGCTGGCAAAGGAGTTCTGTGGTGACCCCCCTTGTGTCTCCTGTCCTGTACACATGGGCTTCTGCGCTTAAAATAAGCCTCAGATCCATCCTTTTAAAAAAGCGTGTTGAAGTTTGAGCCAATTCTCAAATCTGTGGTCATCCTAAATTCAGCATTCGCACATTTATTGGGCGTTTAGTAGATGCATTTACAAGGGTATTCCCTGGCTAGCCTGTGATTCTTTGAGATGCGTGGACGAAGATTTTCCTCGGAAATTCATGTAATCTGGCAGAGTGCTTAGCACCTAGGAAGTGCCCGTAACTGTTCAAGGAAAGATACGACTTGGCCCATTCCTTATGAGACTGTGCGGCGGAAGGGAGTCCTCCAGTCTGTCTCCCAGGTTGCTCTGGGTAGCAGGGGGCATGGTCTGTCCTCTGGGAGCGCCAGCCACTTAGAGCATCTATTTCGATTTGGGCCCTTGGCAGCTGTGATAAGTAGAGGTGGGTGGGGTAGCTGGTGTCGTCTGTTGGCTGCTTCTGCTGAATATGGTGCATCGTTTGAAGTGGTTGGAGAAAAACTAATTTAACTAATTCCAGAGCTTTCAAAAATGTAGGCTTTTAAAAAAATACATTTTAGAAAGCAATAAGTATTAGTTTACCGTTTTTCCTGGTGAACAGATTCTTCAAATTCTGAACAGGAGACTTTGGCCTCCTTTTTTGCTTGCTTTAAAATGACATTAGAAATTGCAACTGTAGCGTAAATTTCTTTCTGGTGAAGCCAAACAGTAACAGAATCTTTCTAAAGAAAACCCAAGTGGCATTCAAATATAGGGTTTCCCCACTGTGATTATAGATCTGCTGAACTGTGTTATTAGAATGTTTACTCCCTTTTGTTTACTAGAGTTATTGTATTGCTTTCTCTTCGGTTTATTGATTTTCTAAAATTGTGCCACCTGGTGGTTGAAATCTTCTCTCTCTCATAGAATACTCATTAGGAAGATTTTTACGTCAGAGTCTTGGTAGAATAAGGTGAAGGACTGAATAAAATAAGACTATAATTTCTAAATCTTTAGTGAGAATAACCTACTGCCTCTACCCTCCAGCTTACCCCCAAGTAAAAGTTAAAATTGCTTTGCAGGGTCATATTATCCAGTTATCAAAACATCAGATTGTCACAGCTAAACATTTTTAAGAGTTTCAGCGAACTGCTTGGCGTCAGTGTGTGCATACTTGAGGAAGTGGGTGGGGTTGGCAGGGGTGGGAAGTATTGTAATTGTGACAAGTTAACCCTAAATGGCAGTGTAAAGGTGGGACTGAAGTTTTGTGTTTAACTAAATAACAACAGTTTGAATGGAATTTATCCCTCTTTCTCATGCCAACACCCATGGGCAAAGCATTATCACAAATAATGTTTCCTTCACTTTTGTTTCAGTCGTGTGGCTGAAGTTCATAATTACCTTGGCAGTATCGTTTTGAAATTGTTTTCTGCCTTCTTTATAGTAACAACTGTTTATCCTTTGAGTGTGAATTTTATTTTTGGAAACGGTGTAACATCATTTAATTGTGAACCTAGATTTGAGAAGAAACTTAAGAACACAATTCAAGAAGTATTATACTCTTGACATCCTTAATTGATGTGGCCAGTCTCTTTTGGGCACGTCAGGACAGATATCAAGGGCTTCCCGCAGCATCCTGTTTCGTTGTTGGACAGCTCCATGAAGATGACTTCTGCCTCTGTGACTTCCACCCTTTGATTTCCAGTCCTGTCCTCAGAAACACCTCAGAGTAAATTCAGGTCACCCTTTCCCATCATGTGACAGAGCATCTCAGATACACAAATAATGCTTTACATATGTCCCACTCACTGTTCACGATTTCAGATACTCTCACAGAGGTTATTGTAAACCTCATGGTCACACAGAGATTATAGGTCAAGAACTAATTCCATTTTGTGGAAGAAGAGTCTTAGGTCTCAGAATAAGTAACCAAAGTGACATAACTTGTGAAGAGCTGAGTCTACCACTTTCGCCTCCAAACCCAGCATCTTTTCCCTTCAAATCCGTTGCTTGTCCTGCTTAACCGGGTTGTTCTTTTATCTGTCCCCTCTGATGGGGGCTTCCCTAAATTGGTAAATATCCCCAATTTCATTAATGGTTCCCTGTTTAAACCTAGTTTCAGAGCCATCTCCATCCTGAGCATCCCTCAGGAATATTCAAATTGTCAATATTCTGGACATGGCAGATAGGACGAACACAGTACTGTTCTTTTCTTGATGTAGACAGCTCCTCTGTTTCTAATAATACAGGAGAATATTAAATTGACTTCTGTGGAACCTAGGCCTAGAATTAGGGCCTGTTGCACTTTAGCCAACCACAGGATCTTTGGGAAATAGTTCCTTCTATCTGAATTTATTTCATTCATGAAGTGCTACGAAGGCATGTCTTTCCTATTTTGAATGTGGGAAAAATCAGTCATGGTGAGAGATTACGTTGAGTAGTAACTCTCACTGTGTGACCTGGGGCTTAGTTTTGCTATGAAAATTTGAGTAATGCATATTTTGACCTACAAAAAGGCAATTTCTTCTGGTTCAACTGAATTTAAAAAGGTACCTACTTCCTAAGGTTATTGGGAGGATTATAACACTTGTGCCTAGCACATGGTAAGTGTTCTACAAATTATTTTCTACACTAATAATGTAGATATATTCTTATAGCTTTGAAGAAATTTTAAAAATAAGAATATGGAATATATAGCTTTTCTTCGGTTCATAAAAAATTACTTTGAGTTATAGTGTTATTAGAATAGGCTTTTAAAGATGACTGCTGGGAGGTATCAGCACTCATTTAAATGTGTTCTAAGAAGAATGCCATTGTTTTATAGTTATGGTTTGTACATTACACCCAAGAGTACAGCAGTACATCTCTGTAAGCACCAAAGGGCAAAGCCAGATCACACAGAGTGCACGGAAGGGAGCAGAGGGAAAGGGTGAAGAGAGGGAAAGGGGAAGAAGAGAATCTCTAAGTGAAAAGATAGGGGGAGGAGAGGGGAGTGAGCGGTAAAGCAAGGAGTTTGTTAGATAAGGGATAAGGTAAGTGTTTAGTGCTTTAGGGTAAGTGGTAGCTTTTTATCAAGAAAAGGGAAAGGAAATTATAGGAAACCATTTTCTTCTTTGATATAGTCATCTAGAATAAATAAATAAATAGGAGGAAAGATGTCTTATTGGTACCCTGGCTGGGTCTACAGCAGCATACATATTTGAAGTAAACTTTTCTTATGGAGGGAGGAAAAATATCTAACATGATATGCATTTATGCTTATATGCAATGTGCACATATCCCTTTACATCAGCAGCCAAGTGTCTTCCCAAGTGTTTACTTTGCTAATTAAAGAGGTCATTTCGGTACATCATAAGGTTGTTTCTGAACTATAAAAGCATAAATTTGAGGGCTGGTTGATAGAAATATAAAAAAATATTTTGTCAAATGTATTTACAAAATAAAATATTAAAGACATTTTCTAGGTGACTAAACCAATGTTTATCTTCCTTCAGAAAAAATAAGTCAGACAGGAACTAGATAAGTAATACTATATATAAGTGTAGGTGCATAATATTGTATAATATTAGGTGACTTGAATTGCTGAACTGTGTGAGACCTAATTTTTCTGAGGCAAAAATTTATATTAATTGAAAAGACTTTGCAGTCAGTGGCAGGCAAGTAAGACTTGAACTTGGCCGTATTTCCAGTTTCCATTTCAAATACTCATCTCTCAGCTGGGCGCAACTCTTACGTACGTACTGTATGTAGTCTTTTGAATCTCGCTGCTTTCGTTTAGCTTAGTGCTTTTGAGGTTCATCCATGTTGGCGCATGTATCAAGTTCATTCCTTGTAATTGCTAAATAGTGTTTTATTGTATAGATATACCACATTTGTTTATCCAATTACCTAGTTATTGGACATTTGGATTGTTTCCAACATTGGCTGTTAGGAATGATACTATGAACATTCACATACATCTCTTTGTGTGGATATGTTTTCATTTGTCTTTAGGAATGCAATTTCCAGGTCATATGATAAGTTTGCATTAACTTCTTAAGCAACTGCAACTGCCAAATTGTTTTCCAAAGTGTCTGTACTATTTCACATTCCCAATAGCAATGCATGAGGTCCATTTTCTCCACATCCTAACCAATGCTTGGTATTGTCTGACTTTGATTATAGCTATTCTGGTGGCTGTGTAGTGCTATCTCGTTGTGGTTTTAATTTGCATTTCCGTAACGGCTAATGGTGTTCAGCATCTTTTCATGTGCTTAATTAACCAGACCTGTATCTTCTTCAGTGAAATATCTGTTCAAATTTTTTGCCCATTTTGGGGGTCCATTTTAAACATTGGATTGTTTGTAGGCATTCTTTATATATTCTAGATAGAAGTCCTTTATCATATATGATTTGCAAATAGTTTCTCCTAGTCTGTAGCTTGTAGTAGATTTTACTTTTTAGAGCAGTTTTAGGTACACAGCAAAACTGAGCAGAAAGTACAGAGAGATCCCATATGCCCTCTGCCCCTTCCCCCCATCCTTGCCTGCTGTCCACATCCCCCACCAGAGTGGTATGTTTATTGCAATTGATGAACCTACATTGACACATCATTATCACCCAAAGTGTCGCTTGTCTTTCTTCATTTTCTTAATGATGTTTGTTTTTTTTTTTTTTTTAAAGATTTTAGTCTTCCTTTTTCTCCCACAGTCCCCCGTACATAGTTGTGTGTGGGTCCTTCTAGTTGTGGTGTGTGGGATGCCGCCTCAGCATGGCTTGATGAACGGTGCCATGTCCGCGCCCAGGATTCGAACTGACAAAACCCTGGGCCTCCGAAGCAGAGCTCAGGAGCTTAACCACTTGGCTACGGGGCCAGCCCCTTAATGATGTTTTTTGAAGTGGGAATGTTTTTAATTTTGATGAGTTTTTACCAATTTTTTCTTTTAAGGATTGTGGTTTTGATATATCTAAGAACCCTGCCCAACCTAAGGTCATGACTTTCTTCTGTGTTTCCTTTCTCGAAACTTTTAAGAGATTAAAGCAATTAATTGAATCTTTCTTTTGTTAATCTTTTCTGAGTTAAAAAGAATAAGTTAAAACAAGAATAGGTGAATAGTACTACATAACTATAGCAGACACCTCAAAATAATACTTTTGCTTTGACCTTGGCTGCTAATTTTCTGCTTTGTGAATGAACCAATTAAACTTAATTTCAGGTTCTGATAATTGCATTCTATAATTCTAATAATAATATTAGAATTCTAGGATTATTAGAATTATTATTCTAATATCTATTATTATTCTAATAATTCTGTAATTCTAATAATTGCATTTTATAGATATATCTGCTAAATTTGGAAAAAAATTTCACACCTGCTTCTTGTTTTTCTTCATTGTTTAGTTAGATTTTTCTTAGCCAGATTCTAGGAAGAAAATCTGTATTCACCCTAATGTGAGACTGACTAATGGCCCTTTGATCCTCTCAGAGGAATATACACTTTAAAAGGGTTAATAAGCCAGTTCTCTTAATTGGTAGAATTTCATCTGAACAAATGAGTTGTAATCAATTTCAGGAATGTGGGAAAATGACTGAAGTTGGACTTATTAATATAGGCAAGCTGTTTTTGTTTGAGCACTTGTTTCCAGGATTGGGGCTCTTGAGGAGTCCTGCTTTTTTCTGAACCTGCGAGTTTTCTAAACACTCCTGATAACTTGCTGAATCTGTTAAGTGATTGGCTGAGGAAGCAAACTGAGGCTCAAGTTTAATAATTTGCCTAAGGTCAACATTCTTTTCTGATAAAAATCACTGCAGGTTCTTACTGAAAATAGTTTTAGGTCGCACTAACGAATATAGTCACACATACTCAAGACACTCTTGTATCCACAGGTTGCTCTGCCGTGCTCCATCATCTTCTAAAGATGCATCCTGACTTATCTCCACACTTGCACACTGAAGAATGCAACGTCTTGATTAACTTGCTTAAGGAATGTCACAAAAATGTAAGACTTCAGAAAAATGACCATAAAGCAAAAATGAAACTTAGGTGCAACACACTGATGTAAAATGTTATCTCCATTAATGGAAGGGAATGATAATGTCTTAGTAATGCATCTTAGCTTAGTACAGATAAGCAACTGATGCTTGTGCTTTTTTTTATTTTGAGCCCTGAGCTAACGTCTGCCACCAATCCCCCTCTTTTTGTTGAGGAAGATTCACCCTGAGCTAACATCCGTGCCCATCTCCCTCTACTTTACATATATGGGCTGCCTGCCACAGCATGGCTTGATAAACGATATGTGGGTCCACGCCTGGGTCTGAGCCAGTGAACCCCAGGCTGCAGACATGGAGCACACGAACTTAACCCCTTTGTCCCAGGGCCAGCCCCAAGCTTGTGATTTTTCAGAAACCGCTACCTTTTATGATTAGTAAAAATCAAGCATGATAGTTTGTTAGGGAACTCTTGAAATGCCATGTAATACCTTAGAATCCATGTTCTTATAATAAAATACTTTCCTTTTCCTAATTTCAGGGCACTAGAACAATTATGTTCAGCTCTGACTCTTCTGGTCATAATGAAATTCTAACATTTTCTGTTCCTTGATGTCTACCATTCTATGTTTAAAGGAAAGTGAAACTTTCTTTGTAAGTAGGTATTAGCTAGATTTAAATTATGATTGGCCTAATTTGACAGATTTACTTAATTGTTAGTGGAATGAAAGTAAAATTCCATGGTAAAAACCAAAATAGAAAAGAAGCCCATTTTTGGAATGCTTTAAATTAAGCTGGTATCTTTACAGATGTCAAATATTTAGCTTTTTTCCCATGTGTTTGACACATGAGACATTTATAAAGAGCGTTTATGTTTTTCTTTAACTTTGGATGATGCATTATTTTCCTCATGATATTTATACAGTGTAGATATATCAAATTATATAATAACTATCATTTAAATGAGTAGAATTTTAAGACTAAAAATAAGGCAGTAAGTGATACCCATGACCTGTGAAGTCAGATATTTTTACTGGTTCAAAGAATGTTGTTGATGACAATATACTTTAGGCAAACTATGTTTATCATACAGCTAGATCAAGAATTGATATTGTAAGTCTTTAACTTTAGCCGCTCTATGGGTATGTAGTAATATCTCATTTGGTTTTCAATCGTATTTCCCGGATGGCTGATGATTTTGAGTATCTCTGTGTGCATATTGGCCATTCATGACATCTTGCCCATATTTAAAAATTGAGTTGTTTGCCTTATTATTGAGTTGTAAGGATTCTTTTTATCATTCGATATATAAGTCCTTTGTCTGGTAAGTGTATTGTAAATATCTTCTCCCAGTCTATGACATCCTTTTTCGTTTTCTTAAGGGTGTGTTTCAAAGAACAGTTTGTAAGTATGAAGAAGTCTAATTGACCAGTTTTTTTCTTTTATTGTTTCTGTTTTTTGTGTTTTAAGGATCTTTGTGTATTTCCTGGTCACAAAGATTTTCTTCTAGTTTTTCTTCTGGACGTTTTATAGTTTTAGCCTTTTCATTTTAGTGTGATTCATTTCAAGTTAGTTTTTGTGTGTGGTGTGAGGTTTGAGTTAAGATTTCTTTCTTTCCCTATGGATACCCAGTTATTCTAACACCTTTTATTGGCAAGTGTCGCCTTTCCCCACTAAATTGCCTTGGTGCCTTTGTCAAAAATCAATTGACCATATGTGAGTGGGTCTATTTCTGGGCTCTCTAGTCTCTTCCACTGATTTATATGTCTATTCTTAACACTACTTAATTACAACGGTATCTTACTGGGGCCACCTGGTCCTCTGACTGTTTTGTCCTCTTTGTCCTAATTCACTTTCCACACTGCATCTAGAGCAGTCTCTCAAACATGAATTTAATTGTTGTTCTCCTTTACTGGCTCCCTTTGCCTATAGAATAAAATGTAAATTTCTTACTTTGTGTATCAAGACCTTCATGAAACTGGCCTCTGATTATCTCTTGAGCTTCCCCACTCTCCTACGCCTGCCTTCTCCTCCCCTCCTTCCTGTGTGCTTTTTTCTGCAGTTGTGGAGCACGTTTCTCTCTTCCACGCTTTGTGTTTGCTTTTTCCTTTCCTTAACTTAGAGCCTCCTCACAATCAGCACTTCCCATTTGGTAGACCAGGCTTTAGCACCCTCCAGGTTTTAGTCAGCTTAATTTGTTATTTCCTCTTCCTTTTCTCCTTTCCTGGCCTAGATTCACTTGGTATAGTCACTCTATACACCAGTAACATCATACATAGTGCATTTCCTACTTTATAGCAATTGTTCTCACATTTTTTGGTCTCAAGACTCCTTTACATTCTTAAAAATTATTCAGGACCCGAAAGAACTTTTGTTTATGTAGGCTGTGTCTGCCAATATTTACTGAAATAGAAATTAAAACTGAGAAATTTAAAAATATTAATTTAAAAATTAGAATAATAAGCCTGTTACATAGTTATTTTTCACAAAAAAGATCTTAGTTTCCAAAACAAAAAAAAAGTGAAAAGAGTGACATTGCTTTTGCATTTGTGCAATTCTCTTAAATGTTGGGCCTAATAGAATATAGCTAGATTCTCATATCTGCCTCTACATTCAATCTGTGTTGATATTATACTTCATGTAGCTTCTGGAAAATTCTACGGTACCCTTGAGAGAGAATGAAAATGAACAAAACAAATAAGATCTTTGATTAATAGGAAAATAGTTTTTACCTTATGTGTCCCCTGGAAAACTCTTGGGAACTCCTCTGCATCCCTGGACTATACTTTGAGAACCACTGCTTTATAGCAGTCACTTCATTATTCGTCTTTTCCTTCTGACTGTGCGCTGTGAGAGTAGGCCCAGGGCCGCCTTGCTCAGTGCTGTATCCTTAGTGCCCGGGACACTGTCTTCCAGACGTCAGTCGATTGAGTCACTTACTCAGCCAGCCAGCCAGTGTGGTTCTCTAGAAATAGCCGTCAGGCACTAGTGGCTTATGCTGTGTGTATCTGAGAGAATTGCAGCCCGTGGACATTTCTTTTACCAGCTCCACTAGGGCATTTTGGGCTTGTTTTTCATGTAATGTCAAATAGTATAATTCTTATTTGGGTTTAATGTTGAGGTGAAAGCAAAAGTATAAATTAGTTTTGTCTTAGAGTTTTAAAATAAGATGTATGTATATGGAATGATATAAATAAATGTAAACTAAGCTATGAAATATTGTCTTAAAAGTCTAACCCTTTCTGTTATTTCTGCTTGTCCTGAAGGTGTGTGAAAATACATTGTCCCTGTTTATTTGTTGTCAAGGAAGTAGTTTAGGAAAAATACACGAGAAATAATTATTCTGAAAAGGCCATTAGGTGAACTGGTGGGAGATCTAAGTCTCTCTTAAATGCTCGCCAGAAAAACTCTGACCGTTTATTCAGAGTGGACCAGAAAAGTACATTTAAAGTGGCAATGAAGCAGGGAAAAAAAGAAACAGCATGAGGCATAGCTTCCTAATTATGTGTTGCCTGGTTTCTATGAAAGCCTTAATTAGAAAGAAAAGGAAAAGATGTGCCTGTTATTACCACTACAAGTTCAGCATTTATGGCATGTCATTATAGGAGATCACCATGCTCTCTGACCCACCCTTAAAAATTGTGACGTGCAAATGCACTAATTATGGCCCTTCTAAAAGTTAGGATCTTAACTTCAGTCATCATCTTAATCTGCTTTGCAGCATTCATACTTTTTGCCATGATAATAGTCATAGGAGTTGAAACCACTAGGAGATTATTTTTGCTTGTCATACAAAGCAGACTTTGAACTTCAGACATAGATTTCTTTATATTGTGAGTTGGTGGCTTATTTATGTGGCCCATATAGGCCATCTAATAATAGTGTTAGGTGTTTCTGATGTATTTTGATGACGTTTTGAACAGGGGCAAATGAGAAAGTGGCTTTGGCACCAAGCATTTATTAAGTAACCCTTCTGTGGGACAGTTGTTGCTAGTGAAGAAAGTTGCTTGTTGTGTTACTATGGCCACACTGCGCTTTGACATTACTTCCTGTAATAGAGGATGGATTGTGCTGTGATTTTTAATATGCGCTTAAAGAAAGGGGTATTAGGAAATAAAATTGTTTACACTCTTGTCGTTGTGAGGATTTGGCAGGTTAATAGGCTTCCCTTTTATCAAAGAAAAGTTTATTTTTCATTTCCACTATAGAGCATCTATCTACTCTAGAGCATTTATCCCTCCTTTGTAGGAACGGCAGTGTAAGCCTGTTTACTTGTATATTTTATACTTGTGATTTAACTGTTTGCTTAGTAATAAGGTGACACATTAAACACATTTCTATAGTAATAAATATTTAAACTCTATGTGCCAGAGACCTTAGCATATTATGGGATGAAATATTTTATGCCTTTTCTTCCTTTTAGCACAGCATTCTGAAATTTTTTGGTCATTGCAATGATCTTGATCGGGAGATGAGAAAATGCTTGAAGAATGAGGTAAGAAAAGTGTTAATATTTTTTTTTTTTAAGATTGGCACCTGAGCTAAAACTGTTGTCAATCTTCTTTTTTTTTGCCCCTCCCAAATCCTCCCAGTGCATAGTTGTATATTTTTTAGTTGTGGGTCCTCCTAGTTGTGGCATGTGGGACTCTGCCTCAGCATGGCCTGATGAGCGGTGCCATGTCTGCGCCCAGGATCCGAACCGGCGAAACCCTGGGCTGACAAAGTGGAGCGTGTGAATTCAACCATTCAGCCATGGGGCCAGCCCTAGAAAAGTGTTAAAAGATGGAAATGGTTAAACAATAGAACAGAACATTTTGAATAATATTATATGTTACTGCCATTATTAAATTTTTTTTCCAAATTTTAGGGTAACAGAGAAAATTGACTTTATATGTATGTCCTCCCCTAAAACCAAGAAGAGAAGTGAAACGTCTTCCAGGGACAGTTTTAGAACATTGCTATTCTTTTGCATGCATGTAAATAAAAACAACTTCCTTATCATAATCACTGGAAGTCCTCTGGGTGAGTTTTAAGGTTTGGGAAATTGACTCTCTGTTCAGCAGAAAGACTTATGTCAATCAGCTCTAACAGGTAACTAAAACTCTCGGCCTCAGTTTCCTTATATAACTTGTGAAAGATCTCTTTCCAGCTTTAAAATGTTTAATTTCTTTCTAGTTATGGTATGTACAAGCCATAGGGATCAAATTTGACTTGTTTGCAAAGAATCATTTCCTGCATCCAATTTTAGGTTATGACTTGGACTTGGCAAATAGCCAAAGTACCTAGTTCATTGTCTTTTTAAGGTACTGCTAACCAAGCATTTTTATTTTATTGTATTTTATTTTTTTGAGGAAGATTAGCCCTGAACTAACATCTGCCAATCCTCCTCTTTTTGCTAAGGAAGCCTGGCCCTGATCTAACATCCGTGCCCATCTTCCTCTACTTTATCTATGGGACGCCTACCACAGCATGGCTTGACAAGCGGTGCCATGTTCGCACCCGGGATCTGAACCGGCGAACCCCGGGCCGCCAAAGTGGAACATGCAAACTTAACCACTGCGCCACCGGGTGGGCCCCTAACCAAGCATTTTAAATCTTTGAAAAGAAATTTAATTCTCTTTCTGTTTTGTACATCAGATGTTTTATGTCCAGAACCTTTACAATCTATAACTACTAAAAATCTGCCTTTCAGTTTTCTTTCATTTTCTGTAGTTTTGAAATTTTTTTCCTATTTAGCCTCATATTGAAAGTTATTAGATATGATCTATGAAGCTGTCTAGCATCTGTCTGTCTTCATTTTTTGTATTTTCCACTTTAGGGCCTTTTTTTCTTTGAGGAAGATTAGCCCTGAGCTAACATATGCTTACAATCCTCCTCTTTTTGCTGAGGAAGACTGGCCCTGAGCTAACATCCATGCCCATCCTCCTCTGTTTTATATGTGGGACGCCTACCACAGCATGTCTTGCCAAGCGGTGCCATGTCTGCACCCAGGATCCGAACCAGCAAACCCTGGGCCGCCGAAGTGGAACGTGTGAACTTAACTGCTGCGACAGTGGGCTGGCCTCTAGGGCCTTTTTTTTCCCCCCTCGTGGAATCCCTTTCCAGTGTCTTTACTGTTAGAACTGTCTGAAGTTCTGAGTTGGGGGTAATAGTTTTGTGTGCACAAACATGTACCTGTAGAAGTGTTTTAAACTGATTTTTGAGAAGAGTTTTTCCTTCATATGTGAAGGCTAGTTTATATGGAAACTACACCTAGGGCTGTGTGCCTGTTTTAATAAGATTATGGAAAAATAAAGCCCATGCTATTTTATTCGGTATAGCTGTTTATTTCTCACATTCTTTCAGTTGTGTAAGATGGCTTTTTCCCTAAGTTTAGAATTTTTTCTCCTTATAGTTCAATAATTGTGCCATTGGTTTGGTGATTAGATCTTCATGTGAAATCTTCTTCCCAGGTGGTCCTGAGCTGTTAGTGACTGTTTGGTAGAATGTTGTAGATACTTTTCTTATTTTATCTGAGTTCGTTTTCATATAAATTTCAGATTTTCTCCTTGACTTATTTTCTCAGTTCTCTATGTGGTTTTTATGTTATTTCGTTACCTGATTTATAGATGTTTTTCTGTCTCTTCTTTCATTCTTCAGTCTTCTCAACTTGTTCTCATTTACTTCCTCTCTGCTTTTACTGCTTTCTAGTTTACCATTTATTGCTTCTAACGCTCTCCTTCTGCCGTTTCCTTCATGTGTCATTTGAGTGCTTCGTTCCTGGGAGCTTTTAACTGGGAAGGCTCTGGCCCTTTCTCTTGAGCTTGTCTTTTAACTGGGAAGGCTCTGGCCCGTTCTCTTGAGCTTGTCTTTTAACTGGGAAGGCTCTGGCCCGTTGTCTTGAGCTTGTCTTTTAACTGGGAAGGCTCTGGCCCATTGTCTTGAGCTTGTCTTTTAACTGGGAAGGCTCTGGCCCGTTGTCTTGAGCTTGTCTTTTAACTGGGAAGGCTCTGGCCCATCTCTTGAGCTTGTCTGTGCTCCTGTGTTGCTGCTTTTGTTCTTTCGTTTGAAATAATCACTAATATTGCTTTTGCAGCATCCTCTTTCGTTCTTCCTAATTGTTTGGTTTGGTTTGGTTTTTGGTTAATTGACCTTCCATTCCATCAGTATTGTTTGGTGGAGTTTTGTGAATAACATCATATTTATCCTTTTTTTTCCTTCTTTTATTCAAGGGCCATCTTGGCTCTCTTTGAAGATGTCTTAACATATATTTTAATACAGACTGTATTTTAATTTGCTCCATGACTTATTTTATTGGCCTGCTACAACGTATCGTCTTCTGAAGACTTACCCTTAAGACCCTCCTCCCACCCTGATTGCTGGGTGCAGCCCAGCATATGTGATTAAAGATAGATATCAAGTACTTTTCTCGGAGCAGGTATCTCTCCGTGTTCTAGCATAGTGGCTTTTTTTAAAAAAACTTCTTAACGTAATGAAACACCCTTTCCCCCCAACAATCTTAGTAGGAAAATTAATGTATGAGAGATCAAAGGAGTGATTTTGGTTAAAGGGACCTGGTACTTTATCTGTAATTTGCAGTGGCCCTTTGATGAGGAAGAAAAAGTTTGAAAACTACCATTCCAGAAGATGTGTTAGAACACTTCAACCAAAACTTTAGACCTAGAAAACTTCTGAAAGATTATCTAGCCCAGCTCCTTATATTTGAGGTTACTGGACCAGAAGATGAAGTAACTCAAAGGCACGAATCTCCACACCGTTGTCTTAGGGGTACTGGGAGAGGGGATCCGCTCAAGTCCCTGCGTAGCTCTCTCCCACTAGTTTTTCATTTCTGGCCTCTTTCTCTGTCTCTGGCTCCTAAAATATTGTGATGTCCAGCGGTTCGTATATACTCAGTTCTATCAAGTTGAATTAACTTTTTCCACCTCTGCCTGGGGACCCTTTATTTGCCTTTAAAATATGTCTGTTTTGGTGTATATATTATAAGCCTGTAAATATATTCATATACAAACACTTATATTCAGTTTTCTTTGCTTTAAACAAGTGCTTTTTCCAAGTGCCAGGCTCTGTATTTGCTGTTATTTATAACCTACTGGCCAGAACAGAATATTAGGCAGAAACCCTCCAAGGTGAAAAGTGCATTTAGATCCAGTTGATTACAGAAACCTAGTTGTTGAGGAGAATCAGGTTCGATGACTATTCATGACGAAAAAATCCTAGGAAGGTCTGCTGACTGTAAATTTCCATATGAACCAACAGGATAATATGGTGGCTAAGAGCCAGTTACTCTTCTGATAATATTTATGGAAATGTAAGATGTCGAGGTCACGAGAACTAGTAGGCCCACTGTAATCCACATCTGTCAGACTGTGTCGAGAGCGCTGTGTTTCATTCTGGTTGTAGTTTTTTTTATAAGAAGTATTGATATTTAAGTGCTCTATAAAAGGTGCTTTATAGATATTAGAAGGCAGAAGCCATGTTCTGTGAACAGTTGTAGAAAGCAGCAGTTCAGCCTGAAAAAGAGGTAGTGAGTGAGGTATCTGTACTCAGATGTTTGGAAGATTATAGCAGACAAGAAGAAATAGAGGGCAGGAGGAGGATTTACAGGGAAACACTTACTGCATAAAAAACTTGGGAACAAGTAGAAGTGTCCAGTAATTAAAGAGGCTGCGTCTCAAGGTAGTGAGCTCTCAGAACTACAAGCGCTCGAGCAGAGGTTAGAGGACATTACTGTGAGCTCCTGCAGAACAGGGACAGGAGTCATCCGTCTTCAACATTTGCTGAATTCATATTTTGGGAGGAAGTTAATTCAGTAAATATTTGTGCACCTATTAGAATGTGGGTGCTTTACTGTATCAAATGAAATTGTACTAGATAGCCCTCTAAGGTCACTGTTTCCTGTCTCAGATTTAGTGAAATAAGAGACAAATAAGAATTTTGTCAGCAAAACCATTATTTGTATTTTGCAAATATTTAATTTAACTGATATAAATGGTGATGTAATCTGCTGTCTCTTTTCTCCCCCTCTTCCTTTTATTTTCCAGTACATGGAGAAGAGGTCCAAGAGCAGGGAGCACGGCAATGTGATGCGAAAGAGACTTTTTAATCCTCCAGAGGAATCTGAAAAATAAATTATATTTTTACTGGATGGCTTGGTTGAGAGAAGACCTAAAGACTTGGTTGATAACCAAAAGAATCCTGTCTCGTTTGGTCTCCAGAATCCTTTGAATGGAAAATGACTCGTGAGAAATGGAGCCATGGAGAAATATGGAAACCCTGGCTTCTGACTGTCTGTTGGGCAGGGCCTTTAGTACTCTCTCTCCTCTCCCAGCACACCTGACTTCTCACACGTTTCTTCCCTGGCTTAAGCCAGTTAACATTTGAGTAACTTATCTCCTTCAATAAAATAATTGACTTTAGTCATTCTTTTTCTGTTTTCTTAGACTCTCCTGGAACTAGGGCAAAATGGTCCCATTAGACTTTCCTTTTTGACAACGTGGCAATCTGGAGCTTAAACACTGAAGACACAAGCTAGGGCAAAGAGTTTGGGGAAGGCCCAGCCCAGTGGCGTAGCAGTTAAGTTTGCATGCTCTGCTTCAGGGCCCTGGGATTTGCCAGTTTTGATCCTGAGCTTGGCCCTACACAGTGCTTATCAAGCCATGCTGTGGAGGTATCCCACATATAAAATGGAGGGAGATGGGCACAGATGTTAGCTTAGGGCCAATGTTCCTCAGCAGGAAAGAGGAGGATTGGTGGTGGACGTTAGCTCAGGGTCAATCTTCCTCAAAAAAAAAAAGTTTAGGGAAATCCCAGCTGTGTTAACTATATAAAAATGTTCCAACTTTATTGTTTTTATTTATTTATTCTAAGGAACATTCTCCCTGAGCTAACATCCATGCCAATCTTCCTCTTTTTTTTAAATTTAAAGACTGGCACCTGGGCTAACATTTGTTGCCAATCTTCTTTTTTCTTCTTCTCCCCAAAGCCCTCCAGTACATAGTTGTGTATTCTAGTTGTGAGTGCCTCTGGTTGTGCTATGTGGGACGCTGCCTCAGCATGGCCTGATAAGTGGTGCCATGTCCACGCCCAGGATCCGAACTGGCGAAACCCTGAGCTGCCAAAGTGGAGTGCACGAACTTAACCGCTCGGCCGTGGAGCCAGCCCCAATCTTCCTCTGTTTTGTATGTGGGTCACTGCTACAGCCTGGCCACTGACGAGTGGTGTAGGTCCATGCCAGAGAACTGAACCTGGGCTGCCAAAGCGGAGCATAATGAACTTAACCCCTAGGCCATGGGGGCCAGCCCTATTCTTTTTAAAGAGCTGTTTTCTGAAAGGTTAAATGTTTGACACTGATGGAATTACATCTGGTTAGGATTTAAGTCTTTGGCAGACCTTGCTTCCCCATTTGGTTGAATGTGCCCATCCTGGGTGCCAGCTAACTCCTGGGCATTAACCTTAGGCCAGGATGTCTCTGCTGGGTACAGGGCTCTTCTTTCCAGACTAATTTCTAGCAGTTATCCTGCCAGTGTTATTTCTGCCAGGTGTTTCTGAGACCTGTGACAATCTGGAAGTCAGCAACTTGCAGCCATGGCCACAGCAGGGGCTCGATCTTGCCAGCTAAGGTGTCAACAGACTGACCTGTGAGCTCCTTCTAGTGGATTCTATGTATATGTCCAGGATGAGGCCTTGTTGGTGTTAGTGTTTGATAAGTGATGTCTCCATCACAAGAGGTGTTCAAGAGGCTGGACACTCACTGGCCAAGGTGGTTACGCAGGATAACAGACATTCGATGAAGGGAGGAGGAAGCATCAAAATTAATTCTGAGGTCCCGTTCAAGACTGAGATTTATGGATATTTATTCAGCTCCCCCACCCCCACCAGTGTCAGGCAGTACAGGTCCAGAAATGAGACTTTTTGCCTTTTGAAGCTTGTAGTTAACTGACAGGTCGACTATTACGGTAGTGTAGTAAGTGCTATGATTAGGTAGGTGTTGTAGAAAACATCGAAAGGGCATCACTGCCCAGCTTTCAGGAAGAAGGAGCCATTCCAAGAAAGCTACTTAGCAAGGTGACCTTTGACAAACGGAGTGAAAATGGAATACATTCTGGGGCACTTCAAGTCGTTTAGCATGACTGGAATACGAGAGCTGTTGGTGGAGGAAGATCAGAAACAGCTTTGAATTCTGCTGGCATTTCATCTCCAGTGCTGCGGTGGTCAGTTGCCAATTTTAGTATGTGATTAGGGACTTGTGGAGGGGAGTTAGTTGGGAGCGTGGTATGTTTCAATGTGTATTTTAGTAAGATTTTTCTGGTTATACTTTGGGGGATAAATTGGAGGAGAAGGGAGATTACAGCCAGAGAAACCAATTTGACTTCTGCCCCCATTTAGGTGATAAACGGGGGCCTACATTAAAGAAGTGGCTTGAGGGTCGAGAGGAGTGAGTGGATTTGAGGGGAATTTGAACACAGAATCAGCTGACTGACTGAGTGGAGGGTTTAAGAAGAATCTGGGAAATCTGCGGCATTTGATTTGTGCTGCATGCTGATGTGCCCTGCCCTGAGCGGGGCAGGACAGGACAGGCGCAGTGTGAAGTGCAGAGCTTGTATGTGGGGAAGATCTGGGTGGAGATGGCTTTTAGGCTTCTGAGTCTTCAGATATGGAGTTTCTTAGGGTTGCCTGGACTAGAACAGAATTGGGAGACAGCAGCGGGCAGATGGTAGCTAATGCCCCGTGGGCCAGTGTCTATAGTGGACCACGTAAGTTGTTTACTTGTAGAGCAGAGTAAAACTTCGGGAGTTGCTTAGCTTTTTAAATTATATCAGTACTACATTTTTTTTTTTTTTGGCAAGGAACATTGGCCCTGAGCTAACATCTGTGCCAATCTTCCTCTATCTTATGTGGGATGCCACCACAGTGTGGCTTGACAAGCAGTGCTAGGTCCCCACCCAGGATCTGAAACTGCAAAACCCGGGCCACCGAAGCAGAGCACGTGACCCTAACCACTACACCACCAGGCTCGACCCTAACCACTACACCACCAGGCTCGCCCCTAAGTACTACATTTTTATGGAACATTCAAATAACTTGTAAGTTTTACAGAGTAAAAGGTCTCCTTCTTTACACCTGCTTGTCTTCTGAGAAGTACTTATAATCGACAGTTGGGTGGGTCTTCTGTGCACTTACATTAATATTTTGGGACAGGAGAGGGAGCCCTACAAATGGAGAAGGAGTAGGCATAGAGGTAGATGGTAAACTGTGGAGAATGCTGCTACAGCTGGCCAAGGGGGTTATGCAGGAGGGAGTGCCACTGGATCAGAGTAAGGGCTGAGGTGCCAGTTGATTTGGTTCCTCCATCATCTGGGACCTTAGAGCCGTTTGGCATGGTGTGAGGAGCGGGTGGAAGCAGAGGATGTGAGCGCTTCTGAAAAGCCTTGGCTCTGAAGGGAACGACCGTATACGGTCGAGAGAGGGTTTTCTTACAAAACTGAAAGAAAGTGGCGAGTAACACTTGGGGATGGGTATATGTTGAAAAGAATGCCACAAAAGAGGGAGGGATTAATTTATGGAGTGAAATCTTGGAGGAAGAAGAAAGGGATGAGATTCAGGGCTAATGTCATGGGGATAATGTTTATTCCAGAAAACTGATTAGAAACTGGAAACTTGAAACACTACAGGAAATGTGAAGTGTTCCTTTCAGAAAGCAATTAATACCTGTTTGTGCGGGATGCAATGCTGCTGCTTCTACAGAGAATTTGAGTACAGGCTCTGTTTCTGCTCTCTGAGGACCAAAATCTCAGACCCTAACGTGGTCACCAATAACTAGAGATATACTGGTAAATGTTTAATAATTGGCTCTTAAAAAAAAAGGCACTAATTTGTAGCATTTGCTACTTTCTGTGGTGTAAATACTCCTGCTATGGCAGGCTTCAAGCTACCAGGCTGACATCGCTGAAGGTGGAGTTGGGAAGACGTGTGCACAGTAGGCTCTCCTGAGCTGGTCCGGCCGACACCAGCTCCCCACGGCACACCTCTGCTGTGCAGAGGGAACTGCAAAGAATCCTCAAGCCAGTTGAATGCCCACTGATTGTCACCTTACGCACGTCTAGCGTTTTGTCAGTTGAAAGTACCTGTAGCTTACGATGTACCCTAAAGCAAGACTGTTGTGACTCGTGTGACGGAACAGCTGTCGTCCAGGACTGCTGGAGTTCAGTGAGTCACCAGCGGCATATCATTTTGTAGAAGAATGAATAACCGTATGCCAGGGGGAGGAGGAAGGACGTGAAACCTGCTTCTGCCGTGATGGTTGGATCTGTGCCCCAGGAGCAGAGTTCAGGACCTCAGATGCCTCTTGCCCTCATCCCTCTTCTCCACAAACATTGCCATGATAGCCACATCTCAAGGACTGTTAGGACCTTCAGAAATGGGCACGGTCTGTCCATAAGTTGTCACCTTGCTGTGCGACTTCTCACTGGGTGCTCAGTCTGGATTTCACCTCTTATTTCTAAAATCTGGTTGCTTGACTAGTTTACTGTGTTGTTTACCACTGACTCCTTAGTCCCTCCGGCCTGAGCACTGAGTACTCAGGAGGAAATAACTTTGTTTTGCAATAAAAAATGCTGGGACTATGAGGGCAGTTTGGCCTGGTTTTTTTTTTTTTTTTTTCTGTTTTGAGTCGTCTTTCCTTTAAAGTTCCATCCCATCTAGGTCTCGGCTTCCTCTCCTTGCATCTCTGGCTCACTGCTGTAGGGTGCCACCTTTACTAACAGGAGTGTATCGTATCTTTCAAGTGTTGAGGTTAAGTGGAGGGTCACAGAGTCCTGCTCAGAACTTCTCTCCCTTCTCCGGTCGGGCCTCCCTCAGGATAACCCTCACAGTGCTGCCAGGGAAACCCCACACACTGCTTTTAAGGTCTTACTCCGAACATCCCGGCTGTTCCTAATCCCTGTAGAATAATGCCTTGGCACTACGAACCCTTCTCCCTTTCTCACTCGCTCAGGGAAGGGGGTGTGAGGAAGAAAATGCTGTGGGGCTGGAGCATAGTGAGCAAGGGAGAGAGTGGGAGGAGACGAGGAGAGAAATGTGGGTGGGGGGCCTCGGGAGCCGCAGCCAGGAATTCAGATTGTATAAAGATCTCTCTGGCTGCTGGGTGAAGAGTGGTTCTGGTTAAACCCAAGGGGAGTTACTTAAAATTTTTTAGGCGTCAGCTTCCAAATCTAAACGAGGGATAATATCAGTGCCTATCACATAGGGTTACTGTAGTTGAGATAACGTATGTAAACTCTAGCAAGTTAACTGGCACAAAGTAAGGGCCCAGTCAATATTGTGATTCTTTGTAAGTGCATCCAAACTGGACTGTTGGAAACACTTCCCCTGCACTTTGGTGGAATGCACGAAATCACTTGGGGTGGTCCCACTTGGG